TGCTGAATTTCCTACAGCAGCTGGAATTAATGCACAATACACCGCTAAGGCTTGCAAATACCGACACCATTAAAGCAGTGCAAAAGCACTTAGCCCGCTTAAAAGTGTCATGCACGCATGCCCCTCACTTCGTCTACACATGGCCTCATGTATCAGCGCCCCTGCACTGAAGAACAGCAGCAGGGGCACTTTAACCAAAGCTCATTCAGCAAGCTTTAGTTAAAGCACCCTTGCTGATACATGAGATGCTCCAGGTGCTTTAATTAGGGTGGCTCTCAGAGCTGTACTTAATTAAAGTGCACCCCCACTCCTGTATAAAACACACTATCTAAATAACGTGTCCTGTCTCAATTAGAAAAATAGAAGATATTTAGATAGCTAGGAGGAAGCAGACAGCATTATTAAAAAACTGAAGACAAATAAAGCAGCAGGCCCAGGTGGGCCTGTAGCCAAATATTACAAAGCCTCTTAACTCACATATGAATAGACCTATTTGATGAGATCATGCAAGGAGACAGTCCCTCCTTTTGAAAAGAAAAAGGAATAGTTTTGATGCAAAAGGAGGGAAAAGACCAGTCTAACTGTTTAGCGTAGAGACCTCTCTCTTTAACAAGTAGTGATGCAAAAATCTTTGTTAAAGTGTTGGCAAATCAACTACGGGGTACTGTATATTATACATATACATCCAGTTCTATCAGGATTTATTGTCGATAGACAAATTACAGATACCATTAGGATAGCCCTTAACTTGGTATATAACATGCATCATAGCAAGACTCAGCATGTTTTACTTTCTCTAGAGGCAGACAAAAGCTTTGACTGAGCAGAATACGAGTATATGGGTGCTGCACTAGAAAAATTTGGGGATAAGTCTACAGTCTGTACCAGTGCTTTATAGAAGGATGCTGGAGCTTTTGCATGAGCAAATGGTGTGCTCTCTAAGATTTAAATTGACAAGAGGAACTAGACTGTCTCCCACTATTGCTACTGCTGTTTACTCTGGCCAATGGAACTTTAGCTACTGTAATAAGCAGGATTCCCAAAGAAAAGGAAGAAAGAATGGATCAGTGGTAAAACTATAGTTTTCTATACAGCCAACATGCTGCTTTTGTAAGAGACATTTTTTCTTCCTTAAAAAACAACAGTATTCCAGACATGTAGTCAGCTCAGTCTCCAGATATAAAATTAAAAGAAATCAGAAATGCTAGGTACTGGTATTTCTGAAAATCTCAAGGAATGCAAACAACTTAATATAAGTGGGTGAAATTTTGATGAGATACATGGGTATTACCTTTACAGTAAAGCATGAGGAACTTTTTAATACTCATTATTTAACAGTCTGGTCAAAATAAAGGTTCTGAAAGAATGGGTAGGCATGACTTCTTGGATGGGTAGAAAGCCCCCATAAAAGTGAATACACTTCTAAAGGCCTCTCTACACAGGCAGGTAAAGGTGCAATAGAATTTAATGCATGAATCACACATTAGATCCCATTGGCCTTTATTGCTGGTGCAGCCAAAACCCAATCTGGGCTCCCTCTGCATCAGCAAGAAGCAAGCCCATGCAGTTGGGAACATCCTCATGCACTCTGGAGGCAGGGAAATCAGTGTACCCTGTAGCTGCCCAGACCCAGCATCTACAGGTGCTGGACTCTGGGTTCCAGCAGCTGTAGGCATTGTTGGGACCCAGAGTTGGCAGCTGCTGGGGCTGATGATCCCCAATGGCTGCAGGACTCAGAGCCCTGGCCAGGCAAGATGCACACCTGCAGCTGGGAGCCAACAACTGATGGGGTTCTGCAGGGGAGAAAACCAAAGCTTGACAACAACCAACTATAAAGTTCATTTTTGAGGTCTAACTTTATAACTGACTGGAGCTTTTTATGGCACAATAACTACTTTGCATATCTAGCTGCTCTCAAGGTAACTGTGCAATTAACCAGTTAATTGTGCAATACCCATAGCATATAGAGCCGGCCTAAAACTTTTTGCATTTCAGTGCTTACACACATGTATGTACTACATAGCACTTTAAAGGCTCAAGGCAAGTTGTTCTCCTGAACTTCACCCAGAAAAGCAAGAGGCCAAGGATGAAAGAAAGCACCAGTAGTATATACCATTATATTGTGGGCTGCATCATGCAGCTCAGGTGAAGGATATTTAGCTGGTGTGTGAAGCCTTATTCAAAGCTTTGAGTTATTCCAGGGATCCTGATTCTCTCTGATTAAAAAAAAAACAAACAAAATTTTCAGATGTTAAAAAAAGGAACTCAAAATCCACATTTTTTCATGATTAAAATGAAACACCACTAATATATCTATACATCTATATATTAGTGGTGTTTCATTTTAGTGATGTAAAAATGTGGATTTTGAGTTTTTAAAATCTGAAAATAGAGGGGGGGGGGGTTAGTATCAGAGAAAACCAGGATCCCTTCAGGATTTCACTGATGTTGGGTGAAAGAAATTCAGGCCAGAAAACCCTTAAAGATGACCCCTTTATCCAAACTACTTTGAAAATCGATCCCTAGATAAATATGAACAGTTGCTTTCCCCTTAGCACCTCCCCATTTACCACTTGCATTAAAACTAATGAATTTCTTCCTAGAACTTAATCAAGCGTGAATCTCTGTAGGGGCTAGGGCAGGTATTACCCAAATAAACCAACTCTGTTTGAGAACATTTGTAATAGCCCTAATGGAGTAAGAGTCTTCTTTTCCAATATTTTCAAATGAGACTTTTTTAATGAAAAATAAATATAAGAAAAATCCCTCATTAGATCTACTTCCCACTGGTTGGGTGACTGATGCATATACTCAGGAGAAAAAGGGTTAATCTGTAAATATATGCAATCTTGAGATAAATGGATGGAGATGAGGACAAAGTAAATGAAAGCTTAGGAAGAGACCTGGGGAAAGAAACTGACCTATAGCAGTGGAGATACAGGTCCAGGGTTATTCATATGCACATTCCACAAAACAATTCATGGGATAATGTAGATTTAGGGTTACTTTTTTAAATCTGAAAATTGGGTGTTTTTGGTGTTGTTTTTTTTAAATCAGAGAAAACCAGAATCTCTGGTAATGACAATGCATCATGAGAGGCTGTGGAGAAAGAGGCTTCTATTCCAAGTGGTAGTTGTGCCCAGCAGTTCATATATTATGAGGAGGAAGTGACCAGAATAGTTTGTCATATCCAAAGTGTACCCCCTTTTGGATGTCCTGGTTTTTCCATTGAATGGTCCAGTTAAGGAAGTTTACTTAGTGCAGAATGAAAAGTTGATATCCCTTCTTGGTTTTTGATGCTTAATTACATATTGCTTAGATGTGGAAGGAATCCCCCTGCTGCCCCCCCCCAAATCCCTCCAGTGAGTGTGGTGTGCTAAAATATGGTACATCTTGGTGATGGAGGACGTTCGTCCCATCAGGTGAAGTTATCAGAAGAGAGACGAGACAATTCCATTCCTGGCCTATGCAGAAGACAAAAATTCACTAGCCAGTAAGCCAGATTCTTTGAAGATTAGTGTTATATTTATATACATAATCATTATATTGATAGTACAGCTGATAATTATATAAATTGTGATATATTACTGTATTTCCTTTGTAAAGATGAGGTAACTTAAACCTATGCTTGTGTGTACTTTTCTTGTATTGGAATTTTGTTCCTATAGTAGCCTTAACAAAAAACAAAGTGGAGGGAGTTGTCAAATTCACCTGCCATGGATTTCCACATATTGAAGTCCTCATTACTGGTGGATAGGGCAGGATAAGACTTGTGCTTTATTCCTGTACCATCTGGATGTTGGTCATTTTCTCACAGAACAGGTCAGAAAAATACCATAAAGGAACAACTGTCACATTTTGACCATTTTTTGAGAAAAGGCACCTGGGCCCATCAAAATGTAACACTTTTGTACCAAATCAGTGGTGCTCAACCTCCAACCTGAATCTTGCTCACAGGACCATGCCATGCAGCCCAGGGGGAGTCCTGTGGACTGGACGACATGACTCTCGGTGCTGAATAATGCCACTGTACAGGGTCACTCTGTGGCCAGATCTAGTGTGTGGGGTGAGCTGGTGTGCCTAGGCCTACAGGTACACTCATCCTGCCTGAAGAGCTGGAAGACTGCACTACGCTGAAGGGTAGGGCAGTGTTCAACTGACCCTAAATCACCTCTGCCCAGAAAGAATACCAGCATCCACACATTTGCCTTAGACTAATTATAAAGAGAGCTTGTAAAAGCCTTCGTGGAGTTGGACAGAGGAATAGAATTGGATAAATCACGTTTCTGGGACATAACTGTGAATTTTTCCTTTTCCACAGTGAATTTTTCCTTTGCTCAGTTTTCTGAGCAAAGTTTTCACTGTTTATACTGTAATACAATGTAGAACTAAGCATTTCTACTTTTTATAACTCAAAACTTGTATATAAAAATATATCACAGTATTTCTTCTGTGGTTTGTCAGCTAGTGTTTGTTATATTCTTCAACTCCACTCTGCCCCCAAAGTAGTACAATGATCATTCTCTCAGCTCTAATGTGACACAACATACAGGTATTAAAAGCAGTTCTTCAGTAGAAGACTATATGTGCATTTCTAGTATATAAATGAAATAGAAAAAAAGTCTATTTCTTTATGACACACAGAAGACCTGAAAACTTTTTATTTCTCTTCTGAAGAAGCATCTGCAATACAAGTGAGCATGTCAGTTACCCATGTAACATACAATTGTTGATATTTTAAAAATACAGACAGCTTAAGTTTTCAATGTTTGCTGAAATTGTGGATGTGTTAGTCTGCCTACTTGGCATGGAGATATTGTTATTACTAAATAATGGCTTGAAAACCAACATTTGAGAACTTGGACACTGTAAAACACCACATCAAATTTCACTGGTCTAGAGAACAAATTACCTTCTTCATATGGTTTACAGAACATAATCTGCTGTCTTGCCAAAGATGATCTATGGCCAGTCACTGTTTATTGTCACTAAGTCAGTCAGAAAAAACCCAGCATAGAGTTCTTCTGATGCTTAGTGTTCCATTTTGAACCAGGAACTGATCACTGGTGCTTGCTTTAAATTAAAAAAAAAAAGCACAAAGTATTTAGGGTTTGTTCAAACATCAGATGATCTAATAAGCCTCAAGGGCAGAAAGACAAGTTGGTTCTGCAAAAGGGTTAACTAACTACTTGCTGATTAGCAACAGAAAATTAAAATAACCAGGCAGACTTCAAATCAATTAGACAACTTTTACTAAATGAAAAAAACCTACATTTAAAATATGCATTTAAAACAAAATGGAATTAGAAAAAGACTTAAATCCATTTTAAAGAACTTTTTCACTGTGTCAGAAATCACTCTTGCATTATATCATGTGCCAATTCATAAAATGTAAGTTACCAGAATCCTCAATTTTAACATTTTCAAAGACAATAGTAAAGTGAAGAGTTTACATCTATCAATGCACATTTAGAAAGGGATAAATCTGAGGCCTCCCCCCACACCCCAAAGAATCTTACAAATTTGACAATGTTCAATAAAAACTTTTATAATCACATCCAATGTTGCATCTTAAAGCAATACACACGTGCTTTGCAGTTCTACCCTATGACAAATTTTGCATCATCTCATACCTTGCCATTTGTCAATATGAACCCTTTTAAAGAAAGGAGAGAACAGGAAAGAAATACTGCATAAATCTTGATCATGTACAGAAATTATTGCTACTATAGTACACTACAAAGCAGAAGTCTATACAATAGTATATGAACTTTGATCATGAAAATCCAGAGGATATAATCTTTAGTGACATAAGCCTTACAATCATATAAAACATTCACATGGCAATATTAGACAGTTCAACCACCACTAGTCAGTTAACCTACTGTTCACTGATCTACATCCATTTAAAATAGACCCTCTTATGAGAAAAACAAATTTCAGCTTTCCAAGGCTTATTAAGGGAGGATTTTCATGTTCTGTGGAACTATGCAAGATGCATTTTGATGCAGGTAGGGCATTACCTGGAAGCTAAGCATGCCAAAGGTGTTTCATGCTAATAAAACCTAAAGCCAAGGTACCACGTAATCAAGTTACCAACTAATAGGCAATACCATTTTTGTCTTAAGTTAAATGAAGTGCCATAGCACAGTGTAACGTCAATAATTTAAAATAGTGTAGTGCACAAATTCATTCTGTGGCAGTTTAAGTTAAGGAAAAAAAAAAAGGTTTTCTGTCCCTTAAACAACGCTGACCATTCGGCTGTCCAGTCATGGTGTTTTAACAGGTCACTAGTCTGGAATTTAATCTTTTATTCACTAATGCCCTACAACCTTTTTAATACAATAGGGCACACATTTTAGGTAGCAAGATTACAAAGAATAGGGAGGAGAAAAGAAAAGGAAAAAATATCAGTGGTAGTTTTAAAAAGCCCCTTCCATTTTTCAATCAAAAAAAAGTGAGGGAACATGACTAGATTTCGTATTTGCATCATTCTAGCTACAAAATAATATCCAAAGTAAAAGCAATCAAGCAACAATAAGACCACGTTACACAAATGGAACATCATGCTCTCATCTGGTTTAACTAACATCAAGTTCGTATTTTATTTTTTAAGTGGGATGTTGGTCAATTTTAAAAACTGTGGTAAAGTGAATATGCAACCTCAATAGATTTTTTTTAATTTGGATTTTATTCTATATTGGATATTAGAAGTTGGAGCTATGTTTGTTACAATACAGTGTCGCACATCTTTCTACTAGAAAAAAAATTAATAAAGATCCTTTACCCGTCTCTTTAAGTTAAACGTGTGACATCATAAAGGGTGTCAAATGGCTGGATGGTTTTACAGTGCACACTTATTATATACTGTATATGGAGTTTTGTCCTTGACAGATCTGATGGTGTTTCTACGCTGTTCCTTTTTCCTTCCTTCTTCACCTCTTCTTCGGTGGATTACCTGTGCGCGGTGGAGTGACTGGGCGACCGGAGTTCAAACCACCATACTGGTACTTGGCTTTCTTTTCAGATGGTTTCAGTATCTTTGAAGAAAAAAAAGGAAATATTTCTCTTAAGTCAACTGCAACTGGAATGTTCCATATATATACACACTTGGATTCAACAAGATTGCATTTTTAGTTGACTTCTCAAAAAGCACTCAAAACTTCACCACACTGTTCATTTGCTTATTTTACCAATTTCAACATATTATACCCATACATGAAAGGACTTATTTCCAGATGTTTTCAATATGGCTTTTTAGTTGGATTAAAGAGTGTTGCAACTTATCTGAAACTGAGAAACACGTCTGAGTAAAGGAATCACAACAGAGAAAGCCATCCAGTCAAGTCTGCTTTGATGACTGGAATCAGACTAAAACAGTCTAGTACGAAGACATTTGGAACACAGTAAGTTTAAGAGCCTAGGACAGAGGTAGGCAATCCTCGGCACGGATGCCAGAGCGTGACACACAAAGGCATTCTGCTTGGCACTTGTGCCTTGGGGAAGGGGCCAGGGCTATGCTCCCACAACAAAGACTGGGCCCCTCATGGCTCTATCACCCTCTGCCCCTGGCATACCAACACCTTACAAGTTGAGGCTGTGGGAATTTTAGCACTCTGCCCAAAAACATTTCTGACTCCTGGACTAGGAGCTCATGTAAACTAGTTCTCTGGGGTAAAGGTCATTTACTTTTCCCTAAATACCCACTTGCTGTACAGCACTGTCTTCTGTAACCCACAGGCATATTCTCATAAACTGGCTATAACCATGCACCATAGGTAGAATAACTGATCATTCCTGTAAGTCTATCCATTAAAGAAAGAACATTAAAGTTTAGAAACATACTATACCTGAAAGGAACACATCAAAGTTTCATCCACACTCATCATGCCTCCAGCATTATCAAACTCTCCACAGTAATTTGGAGCTGAAAATAGGGTGACCAATTGTCGTTTAGCAAAGAATTCATATCCATCTTCAACCACCTATCAAAAGCAACACAACACAGTTAAGTCCATGCAGCTCATGTATTAAACAAGATATATCATGCAGAAATTAGATTCACTCTATTACCTAAACTCTTTGATCAGAGAAGTAACACTTGCTTATAATTACAGAGATGACTAAGTACCAGGAGGATACATGAGCGCATCATACCTTCATTTTATTCATTTCGATAAAAAAATATTACAAGAGTCTAGAAGAGTCTGGTTAAAAAGATCATGACTGGATCATTTGAGATTTTAAAGCAAGGAATTTGATAAACTTTCTACCAGTTAAAGCTGTCCAGATACTTATTAATCAAATACACAAGTAATTTCACATAAATATTAAAGTATGACAGGCTCTGAGACTTTAACCACCTCATTTAAATCTGCTTTAAGAAAAGAAGTTTCAGAAACCATTCTACTCTAAGCATTCCTAAAGCTCATTTCACTTGCAACATAGGCAGTATGGCTGGCATCAGGATATACACCCCCGGCAATTGAAATGTTCTAAAACAACTTTTGGTTACAGCAGGTCAACACCGCTTAGAATTAGCTTCTGCTGCACAACCCTTATTAAAAAGCTGAATTATTTTTTCTTATTAAAGACTAAGGTAAAAATAATACCAGCTACAGTAAGAAAAGGCTTCCCCAGACATAGTTAAAGCAACTCATGGCAGCCTTTGCAAACCCGCCCTCCCTGAAAAAACAAACAAACAGACAACCCCTCACATTCATAGGCAATCAACCTGCTGCATCATCACCAGTTTGTTCTAATTTTAGACATCTGTTTGCCTTAAACTGCTGGAAAGCCTACCTAGACAGGAGGGCCGAGCACCATATTTACCCTAATACAAATGACCCTCCAGTAATTAGATTCTACACATGGAAAATTTATAAGTTAATTATAATTTTCGGTGGATGGAATCTAATTATTGGAGGATCACTTTAAATTTGCACCCCATCCCCTACTACAGGTATCATACCTGATGAGCTCGACAGATCAAGTCCAGATCATGACGGTTCAAAAATTTACTGACTACATCAGCACCAAAAGTGAAGGAGACCCCACGATCATTTTCACCCCACCCTTGCACATCCTTGTCCGGATCAGACCACAGCAAGTCGCATAGCAAGCCTTTAAGAAAAAAAGTGACATCAGTCTTAAAAATATTGTCCTGTTACATCATTCACAACAACTCACAAGGTATTACCAATGCCAGTATAATGGTTAGAAAAGGCTCTTAGCTCCACAAATCCCAGCACCCACCCAAGATGGTCCAGAATGACTTAAAAAACAAAACCAAAAATCTACAAACACCTGTGGAACTGGGTGAGCTAAAAGAAAGAAACTGCTTTTGCGCCTTTTTATTTCAAAGGAAACAAATCTACACTCAATTTCCTGTGATCATTTGGGTAGTTCTAGAGCCCTGCTGTATATACATGCTTGTAAGACAGCAACCAATCCTTTTCATGCAGCAATACCCTCAATCAGTCTCATAATATTTCACATTAAAACACTACAGCCTTTACATTTAACAAGTAAATTTAGCTTAAGGTTTCACAAAAGATTCCACCTTTACAGATGCCTAGGTCAATGAAATAACAAAATAGGTATACTTATGCCTTACAATATTTGGCAAGACCTGCACATTAGTATTCCCAGTTAAGTTTGCAGCAGTCTAACAGGCCAATACTGGGCCGTGTCAGATGTTCAAGAACTTGGCCTTCCTGCTGAATGCTGAAGTATGCCACTAACCCAGCAGAGTGCACAATTTGAAAAACAGGTATCAAACAGAACTTAAAAACTAACTGGCTTCAGTTTCCAGAAGTGATTTCAACTTGCCTGTTAAATGCACTTCATGTGGAACCACCCCCCATTTGAAATCTTGAACAAAACATAAATATAGCAAAAGTGTGGAATGATTAGCATACTTAATAATCATAATAATCAAAACTGAATAATTTGTATATACCCAAGCACTCAATGTGCAATTAGAGCAAGACACAGAAAGAGAACAAATTTGGCTAGCAATTGAAAATGGTCAGAGCTACAGTCCAGTGTTCCATCTTGATGAATACATACTGCTATTGCACATTAAAATTTCAATTCTGGTACAAAAGCTTCTTTATTCAGATAGTTTTCATTTACCCATAAGCTAAACAATAAGTCTGTATTTTTAAGTAGAGAATTCTTATCTTTTCCTTTCTGCTCTGCCCTTAATACTTCCTGTTTAGGATCTAGTAGTAGGCAACCATCAATCCTCTGGATTGTGGTGTACATACAAGAGGTCTAGTCAGATGCCTGATGAATCTATTTGTGGCTAACAAACCCAATTTGAGAGCGACAGCTTATTACAAGTTTCACAGATCTGCATGTTGTCTAAATTGGGAGTCCAAATTTACAGCAAGCTGCTTTCTTCTCTCACACTTTACTTCTATCCTCTGGATCAAAGCCGCCGTGCCTTGAGCTACACTTAGTGCCAGATATTCTTTCTAGACTGGATGGGATTCTGCACTCTTTCCAGCTTTCTACATTGACACTGAATGACTTCATATAATTTTGCACACATTGTGGTACCACCATAGACGACCCCACTTTCTAGAGCCGTTTCAAAGCTCAGTGTACAAAATATTCTTGGGGGATGCAGTCTTGTCCAATTCTGACATGGCTGATCCACTGCAACCTCCTTTTCTTGATAGTGGTTTCTAAGTCTGTCAATACTGCGCACTCCAGCACCTCTGGGTTCAGTATTTGGTCTTCCAACTTTATTTTTGGGATCTTACACAGGCATACCATGTGGAAGCTGTTCAGTCTCTTGATGTGTCCATGTTTTTGAACCATAATGCAGGGATGATGGCACACAACTCTCAGATTTGTACCATCACCTTAGCTGATAGTTTCTGTTATTTCATGCACATTTCTGTAATAGCCCAAAATTCTTAGCTACTTTCCATTTTTTTTAGTCTTTTCAGTCTGAAGGCAAAATTCCTGCTGACTGTAGAATCAAAGCAGCAAAAACTGTCAACACCACCAAGAGATTTATCCTCCTGGGCAACGTCGTATATTAGTTCTTCTACCCCTTGGTACATGATCACAGTCTTCCTGAGACTGATTACCATCTTGAAACTCTTGCATAACTCAAAACTGCCCAAGAGGTTTTGCAGGGAAGATTCACTGTGGGCAACCAAGGCAAGATCATCCACAAACAGGAAATCTCTCAGAACTAGCTCTTGCACCTTGGTTTTTGTTCTAAACCTTGCAATGTAGAACAAGCTTCCATCTAGTCTGGTTCAAAGATGCATGCCATCACTGCTGTCCTTGAATATTTGAAGAAGCAGGAATAAAAAGTAGATGTTAGAAAGCATGGGGGCCAAGACACAACCCTGTTTTACCCTGTTGATGTCAAAGGCTTTTGATTCCATGTACTACAGTTCCCTTCAGAACTGTAAAAAGTCCCTGCCTGACTGTATTGAAGGCCTTTGTCATATCAATAAAGGCAATGTACAGGTAATATTAGTTTTTCCTCTACACTTCTTTTGCAGTTGCTTGATCAAAAACATCACATACCAATGGTGGAATGTCTTGGGCAAAAACTACACTGACTTTCAGGACAGCTTTTTTAACCTAGAGATTGCAGCCGAGGGATCGTGATGCAAGTGACAACTTTTCTAACGATGTTCAAAAGGGAAATACCTCTATAGCAGTCACAGTCACTTCCATCACCTTTGTTTTTGTATGATTGTACAAACCAAGTATCTTTGAAATCTTGCAGTACTGCTTCCTCTTTCCAGATCAGTATAACTTCATGAAGCTTTCGAAGTAATTCTTCATTGGCACATTTGCAGATTTCAGCAGGCAAACAGTTGTTGCCAGATGACTTGTTCCCAGGAATCGATTTAATGGCTTTCTGCAAATCTTCTAGTGTAGGCTCACTGTCTAAATCCATCATAACTTCAAACTGTGGTAATCCTTTGAGCTCTTTGTGTTTGATTTCAAGTCTCACTGGAGTATAATTCCGTAGTGTTCAATTCAACTCTCAAGTTCTTTTTGTTTATCAGTTGAATGACATTTCTGTTCAAGTCTTTCAACAGAGCTGTGTTCTTCACGACTAGATCAATTGCTCATTTAATGCCTTTGTACGTTTCACAGCCATCACCTGCGTCAGTTGCTTTTTGAGCATCATCAGTTTCAGCCAAAAATCTTGGGCATACCTCTTAGCTTCTTTTTGCACTTCTCTTCAAGACTTCCTTAGATATTTCTAGGGTTATGGTGTGCAGTTATTCATCTTGCCAGAAAGGAAATTGCCTTACTTCTTTTTACATAAAACTTCCTAAGTTTGACCAACTGAAAAAAGACACTGATGTGCTAAAGATGACCTAAAGATTTTACAAAAACTGTTATTAGTTATGCATTGCTTATAAAAAAAACCATATTTACTATTTTAACTATGTTTAAGAGCCATTCTCTTCTTTGTTCTTCTAAAAGCTAGCTGTATTTGTTGTAAATGCAGAAAGTACTGTACTCAGAAGTAGGCATAAATTGTTAGTGAAATTTAAACAAGTCTGGAAGTTAATTAAATCAGGTTTTCTTCTTTTCATATTAAATGCATGTTATATATGCATCTCACCTAGAGCTTTCAGATGAGAAAAAGGGAACAAAGCTGACTACTTACAGTATAAACAAACCAAAACACTCATTCTATAAAGGTATTTCTGGAAAGCGGGTTTTTATAAATACACTAAGCATTCTTTCTTTTTGCAACTGCCTTACCAATATATTTATGGGGGTAAGGCAAAATTACCAAAGGGAGGGGAAAAAAAATCAGAACATTTCCAGATCAGGAAGCAACTACCAGGTCCAATAAACCTTGGTCTTGACAGTACAGCTTTCAATTATGTGGTGTATTTAGAAAACTTAGGGTCTTTCTTTCAATGGAATCTGTTATCTGCAGGTTGGGATTAAAACACACATTTGAAATCCATTCAGAAAGTTTAAAATGTTGCATTTTTAGGCAGCAATATGGCATTTTCTGCTTAGCACAGAACACTAGAATTTACTCATCTTTGGGCAAGAACTCAAAAATACTAACAAAGCATAGCTGGAAGGTACACAGAAAAATGCAGTTTTTGAAGAATTCATGTGAAATGCTAAAATGAACTGCCTGCAGCAAACAGTGTGTATCCATCAGGAAATGGGTGACTGTTTAAAAATAAAACACTAAAAATGTCAAACACTCAAACCTAGAATTGAACATAAATCAGGGAGTGCCAATACTACCCTCCCCCAGTGGCATTCTACCAAGAATTCAACAGCAGGATGCCCCGAGTTACTTTTTAGCTATGCCTGTTTCCAGTCAAGGAGAGCTGCTTTAGGACTGTATGCAGCTGTGGGACTGATCTAGCTCAAGACCCCTCACAGGAAAAAAATAGCCCCAAAACTCTGCAACATTTGGGGCCTACCTCCAAAATTAAAACCAATCTATATTACCCAACTGTTTATGTTTTAATAAGATCCAAGCACTATGAGAACAACATCACCAAGGGCAAGTTGTGCCTGACCAACCTGATTGCCTTCTATGATGATGTAACAGGCTCTGTAGATGTGGGGAGACCAGTGGATGTGGTGTACCTTAACATTAGCAAGGCTTTTGATACAGTCTCCCACAACATTCTCACAAGCAAGCTAAGAAAGTACGGGTTGGATGAATGGGCTGTAAGGTAGACAGAAAACTGGCTGGAGCATTGGGCTCAGAGGGTAGTAATCAATGCCTCAATGTCTAGTTAGTAACCAGTATGAAGTGGAGTGTCCCAAGGGTTGGTCTTGGAACTAGTTTTGTTCAATATCTTCATCAATGACCTGGAAGATGGCAGAGTGCACCCTTAGCAAGTTTGCAGATGACACCAAGCTGGGAGGAGGTTGAGGGGGGAAGAGAGGAGTAGAAGATATGCTGGAGGGTAGGGTTAGGATTCAGAAAGAACTAGACAAATTGGAGGACTGGGCCAAAAGAAATCCCATGAGGTTCAGCGAGGACAAGTGCAAAGTCCTGGACTAAGGATGGAACAATCCCAGGCACTGGTACAGGCTGGTGGCTGACTGGCTGGGCAGCAGTTCTGCAGACGAGGACATGGGGGTTACAGTGGACAATCAGCTGAATATGAGCCAGCATTGTGCCCTTGTTGCCAAGGCTAACAGCATACTGGGCTGCATTGGTAGGAGTGTTGCCAGCAGGTCAAGGGAAGTGACTATTCCCCTCTATTCAGCACTAGCAAGGCCACATCTGGAGTACTGCGAGTTCAGTTTTGGGACCTCCACTACAGAAAGGATGTGGACAAATTGGCGAGTCCAGCAGACAACAGCAAAAATGGTGAGGAGGCTGGGGGACACGACTGACGAGGAGAGGTTGAGGGAACTGGGCTTATTTAGTCTGAAGAAGAGAAGACTGAAATGGGATTTAAAAGCAGCTTTCAGCTCCCTGAAGGATGGTTCCAAAGACTGTTCTTAGTGGTGACAGATGACAGAACAAGGAGCAATTGTCTCAAGTTGCAGCAAGGGAGGGTTAGGTTGACTATTAATATAAACTCACTGGGACGGTAGTAAGGCACTGGAACAGGTTACCCAGAAAGGTTGCGAACTCTCCATCCTTGGAGGTTTTTATGACCTGGCTAGACAAAGCCTTAGCAGGAATGATCTAATTAAGGATGGTTCTGCTTTGAGCAGGGGGGTAAGACTAGATAACCTCCTCAGGTCCCTTCTAACCCTCATTTTCTGTGAACTGTATAGACAGATCTTTAGGACACCAGTAAGTCAGATACAAGAAACGCAAAACAAAGAAATAAGACAGATGCAATTTTCTAGCAAATATTCTAATTACTCATTCACAGAGCACACTACTTAAATAAGCCTTTGCCAAATCAAGCATGCAAAAGGCTAAATACTCCTAAAAATACCCATTACAAGAAGATATAGCTTTATATTTGCGCAAACTCATCTTTGAGAGCCCCATAAATATAGTATTTTACCTGGCAGTTTTAAACTGCACTGTAAAGTTAAAATAGACTATAATGATCAGGTCTGGCTCCCAGCTAATATAGGGCATGGATTTTCCCCCAATAATCCCTGCATTAGCACAAATTCCTGCATTTGTGGTTGACCAATACTTTAAGATCAAACTGGCTATGTTGCCTTCCTAGCATGACTCAAGTATCTGAATCATTTAGAAACATATTTAATGGGATTTCCAGTCCCTCATGATATTTAAGAAGTTGCTTAGGACCTGAAATCCCAACCTTCACATTTCTCTCTACACTTTGTATCCCACCTTTCAGATTCGTATTTCCAAGCTGTAAAAGGAAATATACTGGCAATGGTAGTACCATATAGTCACAATTAAAAACTGAACACTGCTAAATGAACCAAGAAAACAGGCATCAAAATGAGGTAAAACATTTTAGATGGAAGTACAATTTGAAGACAAGCCCCTGTAAAATGGAAAGTCATTCGATTCCATATGAGCACTCTCAAGTTTAAAATTGTTTTAATAGTGAAACCAGATGATTACGTGAAGAGACTTTTTTTTAAAAAAGTTTGCTAGAAGCCAGGTTTTGAAATATGGATAAAAGACATAAAAGGGAAGAAATCAGTTACATAACTTTTAGCTGAGACTCAGTGTTGTGATTTATACTTGTGAAATGTACTCAGCTACTTGCCTAAAAAAGTATCTGGGTGTGATTTTGCTACATATTAATTTACTCCCCAATATGTTTTGTTTATAGGGAGAGAGATAATACTATCAATTGAGATTTATTCCAGGTTTGGATTGTAAATATCTATTTCCATAGCCTGTTTATCAAAGAAAATTGTGTACCAACAGACAACTGCCTTCAGTGAAAACTCCCTCAATTTTTGAATGCATTTCAGATCTAGAGATTTAAAAGGAAAATCTCTCTAAAAAAAAAATCAACATATACACAGAATTAAGATTGGCTGAAGTGTTAGGGAATAAGAGATAATAGCTGCATTTCTGAGGCAGTGGTAGCTTTTGGTGACAGATGTTGCTATAGCAGTGAGAAACAAGTCAATTTCTTTCACAATTTAACATGTACGTGAGTTTAAGTGTTAGCGGAAAAGATAATTAGGGATACAACATCAGCTACAAGCAAATCCAACTTCTAGCTACAGAAAAGTAGCTGGAGAAGGAGCTGACTTACAGGTCTGTGTAACAAGGAAAGAAAAGTAAATATTGATTGCAGATCAACTAGATTTCTGATGCAAGGGTAGGAAACAGAAGCTCAAGAAACCAAGAGAACTTAAAGAAAAAAACAGTACATTCTGGCAGATTTATTAACTTGTGGTTTTAGACCTTTTCAGGCTATAGAGTGAGAACTGGTATTAAATTTAAACTTCACAGATTCTGACTTTCAGTTTACTGGTTACTAAACCTTAAAACAGCCAGGATAATTTGCTATTGGCTATTCTGAGGAATAAGGAATAGGAACTACCTAAGAATAAAGAATAGGAACTCCTGCAAAGAAGCAGAAGTTGAAATGGCACAAACTCTTGACAGATTGCCCAAGATCAAAAATAGAGCTGAAAATTACCAAGATGCATAATGAAAATGATGATGTGCACGTGAGCACAGGAAACATTTGTAAAGACAAGAACAGGACAGACTGTTATACACTTCAAGCACATGTTGAATGCGCATTGAAGAACTAATCTGTTTACACAGAAAGTGGTCCTACAATTCTAATACTACTGTTAAGTTTGTTACGGCAACATTGCTTCTAGACGCAGTAAATTCTATAATACTCACCTGTGTCAGGAACATCTGTAGGTCTCATTATTCTCCGGATCTGCTCCATTGATTGCAGATCTGGTGACAGTCCTATAAATATAAGAAGATAGGGGAAAAAGCAGCTTAGTTTTACTTTTTAAAAGAGCTCCAGGAAATGTACAATTGAAGGCTCAAGGTAGTGCAGCGTCCATCACTTCCACCGTAGAAAATTGACTTTGTGTATTACATCAATTAAAATACATTCCACAATGAACAGGGAGTAACAGCATAAAATGAGGTTAGCAACTTAGTTCATCTATATAAGCAGCTTCTCCAAGTGTTGCTGTTATGTTAGTGGTTTACTATAGGGGTAGCACACAGCTGCTTTCCTTTTATATGAACAGGTAAATGGAAGTAGTCAGTGTCTCTGAGCAAGCCCAAAGTATTTGTTTTACAGATGTAGCACAGGTTGGCTACGGAAGCCATCTTAAGTGCTGTCTCTCAAACGAGGTCTGGTCTACAACACCAATCACAGCTGCCTCATGTTGCCTTGTGAAAAGTACTAGTGATACTGCAGCCATGAAATAGCCTGTCGCATGCAGGGGTACTAACCTACCTGTTCTACAGTACCACAGCAAAGCTTAAGGTGGCAAGGAAGCCTTGCAAGCCTAGCTACACTAAGAATAGTTTCATCCAGAGAAAAAGAGCAACTTTGTCCAGGATCACATAACAAGTCAAGGCAAATATACGAACAGAACTTAGAAGCTTTAAATTTGTAAGAGTCTTCACCTACATAGGCTCAGCACTGAAATAAACAGCATCCATTTTGTTAAGTACAGTGCTCTAAACAGTTCATATGGCAGAAAGAACTTTCCACTAAAGAACAGCTGCTTTGTTAAATCTTTATTTCAATTGACTATATAGATGGTGGCACCTGTCCACATCACCTGAAGACAGACACATGATCATGTCAATGCAAGACTATTGTTAAGACTAAAACAGTTTACCTGGCTTTTACGATAGGTTACTTTTGTTCCCTGTTCAACATTTAAATGTCTTAGCAACTTAAAACAGTATTGAAATGATTTTCTTAAGAGACACATGTAAGCAGTGTAGTCTATTAAAAACTGCATCCAAAGTAGTTACCTACACATTAGTAAAAAGTGGAAGTAATCAAATTCTAGTAGCTTACTATATTTAAATCTATACCTTCTGTCAGGTACTTTTCCTTCAAAAATCCTCTTGTTTACTGGCAGTTTACTTCAAAATAATCTGTTCTGGAATTGATCCACAGAAATCATCCAAGAACTGATTCCAATATGAGAACAAGGCAATTTCAATGCACTAAAATAAGCCTGGCCAATTTGTGGACTTGTTATGCAAAGGAACTTAAGTACATAGCTTCTGTTAAAAAATTCCAACCTTAAGCGATTAAAAAACCCACTGTTGCTCATGGTGGCTTAAGTCCAATGGCTACATATGGTTGGAGTTTATGCTCCTACTTGCAGCATCTTAAACTTGGAAAAGTTCTAGACTCCTAGAAGTATAGGCCTAGCTTTGCAAGAAGGCAAGTGCTTTTTGTTTCCTCCTCTCTTCTATCCTACCTTTTCCCCTAACCCCCTCTCCCCCCCATAGTAGACAACAGGGGCTGAGTAACCAAAGGTTTAGATTTCAGACTGAAAAGACTGGGAAATGACTTCACCATAAAGGTAAATGCATAAGAAAAAATATAAACTAGTTTTAATATGAATTAGAAAAAGCCATTGTTAACTGACCCCCTTGACAGATGATTGATTACCTTCTGACTCAGGACTATGCATGTTACAAATAAGTTACAAAATTGCACAAAGACAAACTGCCACCAGTACCATGGTAGCAGTTCAGTACAAGGAACCTCTGCAGAAGTGACAAGCTTTTATGAATCCAAATGCTTAGCTAAGAGGGATACACTTTTAGTCTAAACAAAAAGCAGATCAAAACATGAAAATGAATGGGACTCAATTTGGTCAAAGCCTGGTTTTGGTAAACTAGGAAAAAATGTCAACAGGGAGAGACTGTAAGGTAATTGGGGATGTCTGGACATTAGTAATTTAACTGATGGCTCTATCAGGGTGATAAAAATCAATAATTTTTAGAAAATTAAAAAAAAAAAAATCTTACTTTTTATTTAAATCAGGTTTATGATTTAATGGTATTTTTTTGTGTTAAGATGCCTTTTAAAAAAAAGGCATGATAAAGATTGTTTTACTTTACGATATGTTAGACCTCAAAGATATCATCATGGAATAGGGAATATAACTTTTAATTATGCTAATTGAGACAATATATTCATGTCAGGTTTTCAGAAAAGTTTTATAAATAGGTCACAATAGGCCATTGACTATCTTAGGGGCCCAATCTTACAGGGTTCCCCGAAGCTCCTCCATAGATTAGTAAAGATTAAAGAAAAATCACTCTACCCAATGGGACTCGGTGCTCAGTCTAAAAGTTCCAATTAAGCCTCTCTACAATGTTTAGTATCAGTTCTCAAACTTGATTTTTGACTCCAGGGATTCAGGGGTGCAGGTTGTAGCCGTGTTGGTCCAAGGATATAGGCAGACAAGGTTCTTTAGGTAAATCCAGTATCTTTTATTAAACCAGCTCAAACAGTTGGAAAAATTCTTCTTAGCAAGTTTTCAGTCACAAACACCCTTAGTCAGCCTGAGGAAGTGCCTGCACTGACCACTGGCAGATGCTCTCTCAGCCTGATGAAGGATGTTTTTCCAACTATTTGAGTTGGTTTAATAAAAATATCAGGTTTACCTAAAGAACCCTGTCTGCCTGTCTCCAGAGATAACGTCTTTGTTAACAGCAGAATATGGAGATGAGACATAACAGTTGATTATCTACCCTCAGCCCTATTGTCTCGCTGCAAGTTTACAGAGTCAAGCCCTTACCTCCCTCTAAAAGTGCAAAGTTTTGAATATAGAAGTTAAATGAATGTAGGATTGTTGGGGGTGGAGTAGATCGGGTAAGGAGGAGGAGTCTGGAGATAAATGCAAGGAGGGAGGGGCAGTATAATTGAAACAGAAACATTTTGAGCAGACTATTCCAGAAGTCTTGAGGAATAAGTGTCTGAGTATAACTTCTCCACCGATTTGAAATCTAGTGATGGAATGGTATGGTAGAAGGGAAACCCTATCATGGTAGCAGACTTGCAAGGCCGTAAGAGAGACCCTATTTGGGAATATTTTAATGAAGGTTATAGCAAACAACAAGAATGCACTTTTTGTAGAAAGCAGTGATTAAACTGAGGCATCCTGACCAGTGGTTTAAATCAAAACTGCCCTACTTTCCATGTAGCCTGAAGTCATCTTTTGGCATTTCTATACTGACACTTTCCTTCAACAGAACTTGAACATAGTATGTTAGCAATATCACACTATCCACAGAAAACAGGCATTTAAACCCCATGGGTGCATCCAGACTAGCAGACATGCACATGCAGGAGT